AGGGACTGCTTATAAATTCCGTGTGGCGGCCATCAATGCATGTGGTAGAGGGCCATTTAGTGATGTGTCGGCTTTTAAAACGTGTCTGCCAGGTAAAAGATGCTTATATGTGAATTTTAAACGAAATTTGTGTTTAGCTTCTGTAGGGCCTCTTGCTGGTTAGAGAAACGCGGAGAAAATATCCTCACCAAAAAAATTATCCCGCTGGAATGGGACGTTGCCAGCATTATGGCGATGCCCAACTGTCTACGAACTCTCTACTTTTATTCTGTTATTGCCTGGGGATCAGATTTATTTATGACTGCCTCCCATGTTTGTGTTTCACTTTATGTCAAAGCCTGCCTTATGAAAGATATCGCGTGTTTTCGACACTGATATAAGTTACCAGCTACCAACTCAAATTATAGCACATTGTTGTCGCTGAAGGTGTGTCAAGTCAGTTATGTCCCACCTTGCGTTACACAATGTTTTGTTCTGTCACGATATATCATTCTATTTCCAGTCCTGCCCGACAGGCGATGCCATGTTTTGTCACGCCACTCACGTCATGCCATATCAATTCATGTTTTGTCACCCGGGTCACATCATATCACAGCTCTTTCTTGTTTTTCAAACTCAAACTATTTTTTATTGTTTGGTAGGTTTTCCTGGAGCCCCGTCTGCTATTAAAATCAGCAAGGTTTGCACTAACGTTGTTTGAAATCAGTTTACTCCTCGTTCACATCAATTTGAAATTAACTTTCTCTCACTTTCTCCACAGAATGCAGAGGGTGCCCATCTATCGTGGGAAGCTCCGTCCAACACGGCGGGTAACGTGAGCGAATACTCCGTGTATCTGGCCATACGCAGTCAGTCAGCCAATCAGTCAGATGAGAAGCCAGTGGCCGGTTTAACTTCCTCCACAAGCTCCACCCCAGTCCAGCTCGCCTTTGTACGCGTTTATTGTGGTGCCCAGCCCACTTGCACAGTCAGCACGGCCACTCTTCAAAGCGCGCATATCGACTTCTCCACCAAGCCCGCTATTATCTTTAGAATTGCTGCTAAGAATGATAAAGGGTGAGGAGATACATCTGCTATTACTTTTGCATTTTGATTCATAGCTTACTCGTTTGAAGAAAGATAAGGAAATATTCAAACTAAAGTGTTATTCATATATTACTATTTGTCTTCATTTTTCTTCCAGTTATGGTCCGGCGACTCAAGTAAGGTGGCTTCAAGGTGAGAAATTTCTCCATCCCTGCGTAGGTCAATGATAAACGTAAATTTCCCAAGATCTTCAGTTGCAATCTGTGTAAATTTTCTCTAGGCTTGATTCATCCTGGTCCCTTTGTGCATTATTGTTACATCATTTGAATGGGTCCACGCTACCAAACGATTATTGAAAGCTCTTACGTTACTTATATCTAAAGGCAATTGGTTGTCACACTAAGCAGATTGACTCAATGTAATTTGACGTAACTGTCCTAATTTAAAGTATTCAAGGGTTTTATTTCAATCATCATCTCTGTCGAAGTGAAGTTTAATAATGCTGCGTCGACTTAATTCTGCCAGATGTGAGAGACTTAAAAGATGGCCAACTAGCTGTCAAGACAACAACCAAACGGTCTGCCGCAGATAGGTGAGTAGTTCATGGCATTGAAATGAAATTCTATTTAACTGAGTGTACTTTAATTGAGTGTCGTAAAGCTAAAACCATAACAATCACAACGGCCAATCGGAAAAAGATTTAACATCGCAATGAGCTCATGAGGACTGGGACTCAATTAAAAGACAGGAAAAAGAGCCTGAAGCGCGGACAAACGGAAATGAGTTTGGTTTTGCATCTGATTGGTTGAATGGGCTCCGCAAGTTTTCTGGACCAATCACATAACGTTGTAAAGATAAACCAGTACAATCCTGGTTCACCTTTGACGTGAATTTAAAATTTCTTTTTGATACGACACACGCCTAAACTGCTTGTACATCTTATTTCGAAAGAACTCTTGAATATTTCCAGGTCCTTTTCTTGGACACTAGAAGTATCAGTATTGTCAGTGCCTAGCCATTTTGTATTTTTGGAACTTTTTAATTTCAAGATATAACCCCGAAGACTGCCTTGGAATGAAAATTCTCAGTTTGAAAACTTTCTTCTTTCTTGTCATCCACTTTCTTGAAAATGCATCAATAACATAAGGATAAGTAAGTTTTTGATCAGTTCTAACACGTATATGTACCACTGTCTGAAGACACAACGTTTATTTTTATTTTCCAGTAGCCGCTCAGCAGATTCGTCCAAGAGGGCCAAGAAAGATAAAGAGAAAAAGGAAGAAAAGGTGAAAAAAGAGAAAGATACTGAAAAGGACAAAGAAGCATCACAAGAAGACGCTGCCACCACAAAAGATACAAAAGAATCTTAATATAAATACCTTGCACAGACAGAGAAACAGTTATTTTATTCAGAAAGCTCTTCTTAATAGTGAACTTTCTCGGTAGTAATACAGGCGGGCCATTTTTTACTTTGGTGAGTGTTTTTTCGTTTTCAATCCATTCGCTCCAGACTCTAAAGAAGGCAATTACTGACTTACGTAATTTTCTGCGGGTTCAATCAAGCCAGTAAAGGTGGCCAAGCGCGGTTCACGCACGAGTGGCAAAGAACCCCTCCTCTCCCTGCACGATTTCAGCCTCAGAATTTGCCCCGCTCTTGCCATCATTCGCAAATCCGCAAAACTCTGGAAAAATACTCTCGTTCTGCCGATTTGAAATTACGGACCTTTTTGGCGGAGGGAGAGGGGAGTAGCATTAAGTTTAATGTGAAAGTGAAAAAATACTTAATTGTGTTGGCTGAAATATAAAAGTGCAATGAGACAGGTAAATTCTGCGGCTTGGTGGCGAATAAGTTTTCAGGATATCTTTATCACGGTGTGATAGTTTGTTTAGTCTGTTTTGCTATCGAGAACGTACAGTATATTTTATCGTACAGAGGAATTCGTATATTATTGTCTTATGTTGCCCTTAATTGGGCTTCGTCACGAGAATGTCGGATAAATTAGGGAAACCTTCCGTCAGTTTGTTTGTTTGTTTCTTTTTCCACAATCTAATTGAGTGGCTCGGTTACTTAGTTTTTGCCTAAGTACGTCTGAGCCAGCGATTGTCAGAGGCTTGACTTGTTTTCTTTTGGTACTCCATGAACTCGGGTTCCCGAAATATGGAGCTTAGGCAAATATGACGGTGACACCTAACGATTGACGTGTTTTTTTTTGTCGAGTTTTTTTCCTCTTGAATGTGTAAACATGTATAATGTGCCTTACGTGTCACGTTTATCCATCAGGTTTGAGCGCCGTCACTAGCCAACCCCAGGTCACCGCAAAACGTTTCGAAGACGAGTTGAAACGACACTTCCCTTCGTTTCAAATTGAGATTCGTTGAAAAAATTTTTGTCCCTGCGACCATAATCTTTGTCCCCTAAGCAAGTCACATGAATTTAAACTGATCTTCGCAAAGATCAATTGAGGTAGTGCGACCTGTTGTAGAAGCAGCACACATTGAGCTGTTTTGCAGAAGAGACCTGTAGAGGTTGCTCTTAGTCTGTGATGGAAGAACTCCAGTTCTGTAGAAAACCATTTACGTTGCCATGCTGGTCGTTAATCTCGAAAAGCTCATTTGTTTTCTGCTGATGACGTTTAAGCCATTTGTTTTACCACTTTATTGTCGCCGTGGTGTTGCTTAAGATCCCTATTAGAACAATTTTCAGTTAGTTTTTTCCGATTACATTCGTTGTTCTTCTCTAAGCTCTCTGGAAATTCTCTCCACCCTCTCTCGGTCGACCAGATGCGAAGCTGAGGCCAATCGCGATTTTGTCCGTTTAGTTTTCTTACGCTTAAGGCAAAGTGCTTGTTTTTACTTTAAGTTTTCTTTGGCTCCCTTTGATATTTTTTTTTCTTATGATTAAATTACCTGATTACTTTGGCCTTGGTTCACGACACTTTACTCAAATGCACTCGAAAGTTTTCCAGGGATTCTTAGATCTTAAAGCTAATCACGAGCTTTCAATGTCGAGCGATTGGTGACTGGCTTCACACCTCGCATCGTGGTGTTTTCGTATTGTGATATGAACACACAACTCATAGTCTTAAAATCTCGAGGGATTTCCCAAGGGATAATCTCAAATATCCCTAGGATTCCCCGAGGGATCTCGTGGAGCGAAAGAAAATAATCCTACCAGTGTTTAATTCTATTTTTTGGTTAAATTATAGTTTTTTTTTTCATTTGGGAAATCCTAGGGAAATATGGGCTCGCATTCTTGTTGTACAGTGTGTTACCCTGTTCAAATGGTTTCTCAACCTTTTACCTCCTTGGATCTGATTCGCAATTATCCCTGCCCTATACATTTCCTTGTCAATAAGCTAGGAGAATTTGGTGCTCTATTACGATAGCGCCCTAAGCCCTCAGTTCGTGTATTCTCTTTATCTTTTTTCCTGATAACGTATTGATATTGTAAGGAGAAGTGACTTCTCAATCACTTCCGGGAGGTAATCGGTTAAAGCCACCAGAGACTCGGAAGTTTAACTGTAAATATGTATAACCTGAGGATCTTACAGTATCATGGCAGCAACAAAAAAAACATTTTAACAATGATTCCTTGGCTGTCGGTGTACCCATAATTTATTATAATGTAGTTATTTAACCCGATGACGGATTTAACGGTGTAGTATTTTAGTGCTGTACGTGTTCTGTGAATACATTTAATTTGATTAGAGAGAACAGTTCAGTTTGTACACTAGAAGTGTGAGAGGAGACTGTAAAGGACTTTTTAGTCTGCGGATTTTGTAAGAAGAAAAGTAGTAAGTGTAAATGTATTTACCTATCTCAGAGACAATCGCTTCAGATTAAAAGGCGAAACTTCCGGACAAAGTATCTTGGTTGCTTTTGGGTGATTTTTTTTTTCGTGCAGATTTGTTTAGCATCTCGTGTAGGACGCGGTCGTTTAGGAATTTATTAAGGTTCATGTTAGTGTTCGTGGTGTAATTTGTAATCCTTGAGCTTCGATTCTCGAATGCAGCGCATTGGATGTACAACACCTGAGAGAAATTATTACCCCTTTCCATTTGATTAGTTGAAAATTGAGAAAATATTAGTGACTCAAGCCCACTATCGGTTGTGGGAAAGAGATTGCTTTCACAATGAGTTCTCCAATGCATTGTACACTATACAGATCTGCAAGTACTGCCTTTTTCCCAGGTATGCCTTTTTTTCCGTGCACTGACAGCGTAAAGAGTGGTCAAGATGGGCGAGAAAGTTACTTATTGTTATTCTTTCCCCTCCCAGTACCAAAATAAAACGCGTTTAGAGACTTGTTTGTAACAGATCTTATTGCGCGCGTCAATCAATTATGACGAAAATTCACCAAGGCTTAGACCAGACGACGACAACCGAGTATGATGACTGCTGTGATGGCGGTGCGAGCTGGAAACGTCTCAAATAAGGCGTTAGTAAAAAAGGTGATTGGATTCATCGTCGTTGTGGTTGTTTGTGTGGCAGTTGTTGTTGTAGTTTTAAAAGTCCTCAAAACGTTTGGGGACTCCTCTAGCGACTCCAAAAAGGAAAAAACATTTAATGAAGGTACGTTAGATAATTGAAATTTTATTTTGAAGTTACAGTACTCGAACATTTTGCGTCCTTTCGTAGTTTAAGCAACGGCATCATTTAACATAATGCTTCAAGTTGTTCCTGAAAGATGTCGTTGTTCTGAAGACAATTACCCAAGGAATTAGCACTTTTTTCATTTCAGTTGTTTCTTGTGGCAATTATTTCCGGAAAGAAACTGATTTTCCACAAGTTCGCAGCCTTTGTTTCGTGTGTTACGTCACAACTGTGGCGCGCGCGTTCTTGCTTTCTGAAAGTGGCGAAATAAATTAAAAGTCATTGTGTACCAGGCTTAGTGATCTAAATATCGTCCTAACCCTGAAAAAGATACGTACGATTTTTGCCAATCCCCCATTAAAAGGCGATGGTTGCAACTGGATCTATTGCATTTTAGTGCTCGTGGTCTATCTACATCAGACTTTTGGAGCCTCTCTGGGGGTCTGAGATAGGGGTTTATGCTACACATTTCTCGTCTAGCTCTCCAAGAAGTCACTTGGGTCATCCGGGAGGCCTAATTTTTACTAATTCCCTCAATCAAGCCATTCTCATGCAGTTTTCTTTATATTTTAGTTCGCGTACTGACGAACCAGGGTGGTGTGGGTAATTTTGGACCATCTATACTCAAGTACGAAGGCGTACTGAAAAACGAGGTCAAAGTCTCCCCCCAGCATCCGGGCATTCAACTTTGGACGATTCCAGTTTCCGGTCTCTGGTCTATCGAAGCTAGAGGAGCCTCCGGGGCTGATGGGATATTAGCCGGAAGTTCAAGTAACCGTAAGCGAGGAGGATACGGAGCTATTGTGAAAGGAAAATTCCTTCTACACAAGGGAAGAATCCTAAAGATTTTGGTCGGCAATGAGGGCTTCCGTGACTTTCTAGACCCTCACCGTCCTGGGGGAGGAGGGGGTGGTACCTTTGTTGTGTACGAGGATGGTAAACCGCTGCTTGTAGCTGGTGGTGGGGGTGGTGGTGGAATACCAAAAGCTTGTAAGTACGCATGCACCTATTATACAATGATTTTGTGCCGATTGTCACAAAGCTACAAAAACACGAGGGCCAGAACAAGCCTAAGTCGTTCTCACACAATCAAGCTCCAAATAATCTAATAGTTAGCTATCAAAATATGTATGGGTAGAGAGGTTGTTGGTAGGCTCCAATCACGTCCTCATTGGTCCGAGGGAATGAGGAGAGCAGTTTGTCTCAACGAAGCGTTACTTCCCCAATAAGATCGAAAATTTACTGATAAACATGATTTTGGAACTAGCCCACAATTCTTAATCCTCTTACTTCGATGTACGCAGAAGGAACTTAGATTAAATGATTTCTTAAAGTGTTTTGCAAATTTTCTCTTGGAGGCGTTTTTAGTGCCCTTCAGGATAAAAGCTGTTCTGAAGTCACTTACGAATTCGCTACAGAAAGAAGCCATGCACAACATTTTTGTGTATTAGGCTGTAATATACCTCTTGACCCCTGGATATTCCTTCTGCTCAATCACAAGTGACTACTTGGGCAGCTAAACTTTAAGATTAATCTTGTAATATTCTCATAGCTCGACAGACAGATGGGAAAGGTGGTAGGTCCAATGATGAGCCATCCTCCAGTGTCAGCGGCAGCGAGGGTAAAGGCGGGAAACTTTTAGACTACAGCGACAGCAGCGAGACGGTCATCAATGAATCTACTGGGCATCACAAAGTTATTGCAGGTGCAGGAGGAGGTATGTACAGCGCTGGAGTCGGCTTCAAAGAAGGCTGGGGTGGAGAAAGCTTCGTTGGTGGAGGAAATGGTGGAGAGGCAAACACGGTATATGATAAGTTTCCCCATGGGAAGAGGGGTCGTGGAGGTTTTGGTGGGGGAGGGGCTGCCGGTTTGTTGCCCGGAGGTGGGGGAGGGTATTCGGGGGGTGGTGTCAAAGGGTGTTGGTTGCAGTGTGATGGTAAGAATGGTGGCACAGCGGAAGGAGGAAGTTCGTACAACGCCGGGATTTCCCCTTCTAATAAGGCAAACAAGAACAAGGGTCCTGGTAGAGTTTATATCAGGCTCATGTCTGAGGAAGTTGAGGAAGATTAAGCAGATAAAAATATTCCTTTTCCCTTTCCTGGTTTTGATGTATTATATACGACCAGACTGCTAATGCGATCATTTCACTCTTTGAATTTCCATCTACTTCTTGAACGTGTTGCAGCAAAGTGAAATATCATTGGTTTGTCAATCACGCTCAAGATAATCGACGAATGAGGAATAAATTATTTTTTGTATTACTTTAGCGCAAGTATCCATTACACCTACTACCATACCCGCCATATTCTAGCCTAACTTCCACAGTTCTGTCTGAAAAAAATACCGGAACAAAATTAGAGGGAGAGATCTCGTTGCGTGACGAAATAAAGAGCCTGCGCAGAATGCTCCTTTTACATCAATATCCACACAAGCAGCGCATGTGCGTTTGGGAGACCGCAACTTCCTAACTTTCTGTGGACGGTCTCCCAAACTAGTCGATAAGAGAAATTTTTCAATTATTTTTCAACTGTTTTCCTTCAGTCTCTACGTTTTTTAGTTCATCCATGTTCTCCAGTCCTGTGGCTCGTCTTAATGCTGAGGTTATTCAAGTATTCCGCTTCCTTCTTCCTGTTCAAGGCTGTCATAAAACCAGCTGTCCGGTGTGATAGAGTGATTCAGAGCCAGTAGAAAGCGTCATGTAGTTTTCCAAAATTATCTATTTACCGCTGTTGCTGAAACTGAAAGCTAATTGAAACGGGAAGACGAGTTTCTCAAGAGAGCATGACCTAGGATGAAAAAATAATCCTTTTTCGGATATCAAGGCCACTAAAATCGTCTTTTTTGTTCACAAGGGTCATTTAAAACACTTTCCTATGTAGTGAGTTATAAATTGTCCTAGTAAGTAAAAAAATTATCTTTCTTCTTCATTATTCCCAAAGTTATTCATTTTAACCGCTGCTGCTAATATCGAACGCTAATTGAAACGGGAAGATGAGGTCATCAAGAGAGAGCATTGCGTAATGTTTTAAAACATTCCTTTTCCGGCGGTTCAGGGATTCCAAATGCAGCTCAGGTGGAATTATGAGTAACTAACTTCCGCACACAGCCAGGTACCCGGATTTGATTAGATTCTTCTCGACTTTTTCTCCTTTTTCTCGTCCAGAAGAAAGCCTTATAATACTTTCAGACGTAAATTTAGTTTCAATTACATTTGAACTTTATTTTTCTTCTTTTCACTGTTATTAATATCCTTCTTCGAGAATACACACCTGTATAATTTTTTTAATACCAAGTCCCGTGGGGCGGGGTTCCTTAGTCTATCAACGTCACGGATAACTGGTCACATGTCTGCACATGCGTAATCAGATTCGAACCTTGAAGCAGAGAAATTGTAGCCGATCCTGCGAGTTGTTTATATCTACGGAATAAGGCATTCCTTGAAACCGACACGAGAATTCAGGAAGAAGGTATCATCCATCTTAAGCAATGGGGCTTAAGCCTCTTGAGTTCGAAGATTGCATTTTGGATAGTCCGTATTTCCGTGAGAACATCCACGAACATGAACGAGAGCTGGAAAGAACGAACGAGGCCATCAAGGGCCTCATCAAAGAATGTAAGACTTTGTTGAAGGCGATCGAAAGTAAGTGACTGTTCCGTGTACATCTAGAGCTTAAATACACAGTAAAATAGCTGTCGTCCCTGCTTGGAAGTCGCTTAATATTTTTATCTATCAGTGTCTATATTTAAAGGGACAGCGTTACGAACGCGAGCGAGTTAGCTCTTGTTTTTCCAAGCCTCAGGCGACCTTGACTTCCTGCAAAGAGCTTTTGTCTAATGTTTCAAGCTGTCTGTAGCGCTTCTGGTCACTCGATCATCCTTCTGTACATCTGAACGAATGAATGAATTTTCCCGATCAATCAGTTGAATTTACTGGGAATTTTTACAAGAATTTTCGTGCAACGATCACCTTCCTATCTCCCAAGACATCAATAAATCAATTGACGACCAAAATATAATCTTTTGAATTTTCATGCGAGCAATTTCATAGAATTGAATTATTTGTCGTCGTTCGGTAGAAATTCGATTTTTGTGTGAAATGGACAGGTTATAACATGAGGGTTTTCAAAAGGCAACACACACATTTTATTTGAAGCCTCAAATCTGTTTCTGCACGAGGCAAAACGGATATGGGTTCCAGAAATTTGACGTAACCTAAAATATTTGTATGTTTAAATGGAGATTAAACCATTCAATATTGAAATTTTGAAATGATCTTTAAGTGGGAAATCTCTCACAAAGATGGTAAACGTTCCTCGATATCGCATAATTGGCTCTGTAAACATTTTCCGGCTGAAACTGCCAAGAACGTTATTTGACAGGAACAACCTCTTGCCGGTCCTGGAAGTTTATGACTCTCTGTTATTACTGTGTAGTTTTCCCTTTGTCTTGTCTGAATGCTGTGTACATTTATTTTGTCTTTTCTTAAACTTAAACACAAATTCCTTCATCTTCCTCTAAAGCTGCCAAAGTATACCCTATGGCAGGATGAGTGTGATGTTTGTGTACTTGATTTCCAGTGTTTGCCAAATTAGTTGTGAATAATTTGAAATATTTACTGAATTCTTGTCAATTTTAGGCTTCGTGATCAGCAAATTACTGACATGATTCAGTCACTTTTATTTCAGAAACACATTTGCTAATTTTGTTGGGTAATCAATGACCTTTTTTAATGTAGCTAGCTTAATATTTTTTCCTTGACCAAATGGTCTATTTTTGTATTTTTCATACTAATTAAAATTTTTTTGAAATTTTATTTGTGTTCCTCCAAACCAGACTCTTTTGCCATCAGGAAGTTAAGGTCCCTTGCCTCGTTATTTTTTTCCGCTCAGCAGTATGCTTTGACATGAGTCTTTCACTTCAGAGCAGACCTCACTTTAGATTGTTTTCAAGGCATTGTCGAATTTTGAAAGTATTTTTTTTGCCTTCATTTAATTCTATTGACATGCAAAAATACCTTTAGTGGTCTTAACATTATTTCAAAACCTAAACAATGCAATCCTTCTTTTCCTTGAAGTTTTTTTTTTCTTTTGTGGTTGTCCAGAGGTCTAACATCATAGATGGTCATTCAAAATGCTTTCTGTGAAGTGGAAATTTCTTTTAGAGGAAAAAAAATTGCAATACTATTATGGAGGCACTCTAAAGAGCTTTGCTTGCCATTTTTAATTAGTTGACAGAAGTTAGGGTCATGACACTAGTCAAGAGGATTTGAAATAGTCCCTTTGTTCACACAAGGGGCAATAAGATAAATTTGAAACCTTCTGAAACAGGGAATTATGCAATTATGAATCACAAACTTCATTGACCAAAAAGTTCTCTCATCTACCAAAAAAAAAGAAAACCCCAGACCCAATTCAAGAGGGTGTACAAGATGCAAATAGTCTCAATCTGTTCCCACTGACAAATTTCAGAAGTAAAGAGGCTGAGTCCATATCTGTCTGGTTTGTAGATAGCTATATGGCTTAGGCAAGGAAATGTATTCTCTTTGTGTACAAACATCGATTCATCTCTTGTCTAGATTTATCCAAAGCACAACGTAGCTTTGCAAATGTGCTGAATGGCTTTGGGTTGGAATGCATTGGTGAAGTAGAGACTGATGATGAGATGATTATTGGTGAGTTGAATCTTTAATAAGGTCAATCAGTCACTTATCTCAGTTAATCACAAATTCCAGTCTGGGCAATAATTATTGCAGTTTCTCTTGCTTTGACACCAGTTTCCTGACAAATTTAGTAATCCTTTTTTAAAAAAGTGAATTCTGTGATATACAATTTGGTCCCAAAAGTATGATGCATTTGTTTTAAATTTGCTGCAGTTTTGTTCAAAAACTGTTTTTTTTTTTTTCCATTATAGCTGATTCACTGAAGGAATTTGCTAACATGATTGTTAGTGTTGAAGATGAACGAGAAAGAATGGTAATACTGTTTTCTTCTCATATGACTATCAATATCATAATAGTAATGATCATCATCATCTTAAATCAGGAATCTCAGGCCACAAAAAGTGGTATTTCTCAAGTCTTTGTTCACTTCCTTCATATTTCCCATCTTTCCCATCTTTGTGGTTCTTCTTTCTGGGTTAAGTTATTCAACATTCATGGTTATATAGTGAGCACTTTTTCCTTCTAGTTAAACCATGCAAATTCACAGCTGATAGTACCGCTAGAGAGATTCAGGAGAGAGCAGATTGGAGGAGCAAAGGTATATTGTTGGTACTTTGTTTCTTGTTTCACATTATTATTTGAAGTGAATCATAAGGTTTGACAAAAGAATGACTGGTAATGTGGAATTCTGCTTTACAACTTCCCCTTAAAAATGGCTTGTTGCCATTAAATTTACCAGGGGTAGCTTTTGGAATTTTATAAGGAAATTAAATTTTGAGCACCCTCTTAAGTTTGAGCTTCAGGATATTAGGCAGACACTATGTTAAACCTTTACACCCTGACATCAGTATCTATATTCTCCATACTTTACTCTATACATTTTCTTTCGTTACTGACAAGAAGAATTCATTTAACAATCAGAGCTCATTAGGTTGGTGATAATTTGTTAAATGCTCATTATCTTAAATGAATGATTCAACACTATTACTGTAAGGAGAAATGAGATGCTGGTCACTCAGGGCTTAAAGTTAAGCCTATGTGTAATAGTGTTTCTCCCTTCTCTTTTTTACTTTGTTTGAGGTATTTTATATCATATATTTATACTTTACATCACATGAAAAAACGAACATTTCTCTGTAGGAGGAAAAAAAGAAATTTGACAAGCAGACAGAAAAATATTGTTTAACAGTTCAGAACTACTTGAATCTTTCTTACAAGAAGAAAGAAACCATTCTGAGTGAGGTTTGTAGTATTTAGATAATTTTACTAGTAGTAAATGTTGGGATACACAACAGGCTGGTGTTTTTGTGTGTTTAAGAGGTGGGGGTCATTCTCTTATGATTTTAACCCTTTCTCTTCCAAGATCTCTTTAGTAATTCTCCTTACTGTCTGCAATACAATTCTTATGATTTCAGTTGGGAGATTTACTTATTAGATCAACAAATACACCCTCAATTCAAAATATTTCTTAAGTGTCATCACTTGTCTGCTTGATTTTGTATAGATATTGTAAGGAAAATTTTTTTCTTGGTCGCTTTTTTGGAATTTAAGGGTTGAGCAAGATTCTTCAGTCTCACTTTGACTCTCTCCACCCAGGAGTACAAAAAGGTATTAGTGAAGCCTAGTAAAATGCAGGTGGGGTTGGGGAAGGGGCAGTGGTGACATGTGATGGACTGCTACCCTACATAGCAGTGAGGCAATGCCCCTAGCTGCTTCATTCTATGGAGACTGGAATAAGCTTTTGCACCTTAGCTTAAGAGCCGACTTTCTCTTTTTACCTTTCAAGTAATTAACAGGGGACCAAGAGTGGGGACATAAGTTTGCGAAATTTTTTATGGCATGAGTGCACAAGATTCTTGACTTAGTTATTTTAATGGTGGCATTTAATCATGGATATTTGATGTATTGTTCTTATTTCTTTTTTTTTTTTTTTTTGCATAGGCGGATCAACTACTTCAATCAGAGAAGCGTCTTTTCCATCAGTCTGCCCTTGATTATGTTGTCAAACTTCAAGAGGTCAATGAGAAGAAGAAGTTTGAATTTGTTGAAACTGTAAGTATAAACAGAAATGTTACAGTGGTAAGAGCCCTTATCCTCATTATGGGGGTTGCACATTTTCTAGGTTCTGGGTGTAAGAAATTTCTAGTAAGTAGGGACCAAAAAAAAGGGAAGGTTTGTGGTTGAAAAGT